GAGGGGGGAGAGTAAGTTGTCAAAGATGGTGGAATTTTGGCCCCTGGTCTCCAGCAGTGCCAGCACCATGGAACGATCGAACAGCGTCTGTGCCTTCACATGTTTTTTTTTCTCTTCTGGAGAAACATCTGATACACGCGAGCTGCGAGTGCGCCATCGTCTCACAGGGACCCAGAAGGCTGCATTATCACCAGCAGCAGCAGCGGGCCGCCGTTGTACATTTTTTTCTTCTTTTCGAGGCGGCTACGTTTTGCACGCTCACCGACTTTTCGGCGAGTGCCCACTCCCGCCCAAAGCGTATCGATTGAGGTGCATCTAGAGGGGCACTGCGGCACGAGCAACGTCAATTCTCCTTCCTACCAGAGGAACTGAGGGGCAGATCCAGTGATCCGCCATGGCGCAAGGCGGGGAGACTTGGATCTAGGGGAGTTCCCTCTACGGTTGTAGGCAAGCCTTGGTGGGCTTGTGGGCACAGATTGCAGATGACGAAGGCGAGGGAAACGGAGGGGAGGGCACTGCGGAAAGCAATCTATGCCATGCGTGTTACTACTGTCCGCTGCAAGCCTGCAACCGGGGTCTTTGGGCTAGCACATCCAATCGAGCGACTGGATTTACCGGTTCATAGGATTTTAGCCCCCGGCTGGCCTCATCGCTCGCTGTGCATGGGCGGCCGGCTTTCGATGCACGGCCAGGACTCCAGGTTGAATTTCAGTGGGGCATATCGGCGAGAGTCCAAGTGATCCGTTCCAGCAATGATGCCTGAGCCGTGAGGAGGGGCACGCGACCGAGGCGGCTGGAAGTCTTGGACGCCGTGGTGATGGTGATGGCGATGGTGATGGCGATGAGTGAAGTGGATGAGAAGAGAAGAGGGACAACGATGGAATGCAAACGTTCCATTGTGCAGATAGCGTAGTCACCTCAATTGACACCGTAGGCAGCCATGACATGTTCAAGCCATTTGGATAGGTCATGCCCAGCTTGTCTTGCAGTTCAAGAGTCATCCCATCCTAATTCCTGGGTGCACGTCTGCAGATGCGCTAGCCCCCAAACAGGAATGGCGGTTCTGAACTAATTTTCTAATAACCTCTCTCTGCCTTTGCCCGCAGTTCCTTTGCACTCTTTGCCCCAAAAAGACGTCCAAGTCGTACAGGAAACTTATCACACACCCATATCTCCACCAGCTATCCATAATATACCACCTCGTCGAGACAATGCCGCAGGCAATCGCTGAGCTCTAAACTCCTGGTGCAGCCCTTTCACCAGGGCTGCATCAGCCCGACAGCTCACGGAATTCAACCTCAATCGACGATAACAACCCTACGACTGCGCGCAAGCACAATCTGCTCGCACTCGTCTCAATAACCCCCCCTGCTATCGTCTTGCCTGCACTAAAGCAACCCTTGGCATCGTCAGTCTGACTGGCTCAGCGCTCCGACATCGACGACACCATCAAAGGCTCAGCATAGTTCGAGAGCCTTTACCCACTCAGTACACCACTTATACAGCCCCATTGCACGCGACAACCCCTCCTCCATCCCAATTCCAGAAGCTATCTCCTGAAATCACCTCCTCACACGCCAGGCCACCACTCCTCGACCCTTTTACCTTGACCTTTCTCGGACTCCACATCGCTAGCAAACAAACGTTGCATCACATGGCGCACCTCACATTCGCCCGAGCACCCATGGCTGACATGGGTGGTAATCTCCACCAGGATCGCAAGCTCATGCATGATACCAGCACAAGCATCCACCGCAGCGACCAGCGCTCCACATCCCCAGAAACGATCGCAGGCAGCAACCACCTGACTGGAGGACGTGGTGGCGAGCACTCCGCCACGGAGGATGGCACAAATGAAGACGAAGAAGAAGACGACGTCGATGACGATGACGCCGATGAAGAAGAAGAAGCAGACAGCAGCACCGCAAACGATGACGAACTAGACGACGGTACTGATGCCGATGTGCCTGCCCCATCTCATGGCTATGGCAAGGGAGGTAAGGGTAAGGGCAAGCGTCCTGCCATTCGAGTCGAACCCGTCGAGGACGTCGAGACTCATAATGAAGATGATGAAATAACACCCCTTGGAGCGGGGCTGATTCCCAATAAGCATCCACTAAACTCACTGTTCAAGACGAACAAGAAACGTACATACAGTAATCTTTCAAGCACTTCAGTATTGTTTGGAGATGATTCCACAGACCAAGAATCCTTTCCTAGACGCAAGGTGGCGCGAAGGCTAAGTAATGCGGTAACGAACCCATTATTGACGTACAAAGAGAATGAAGAAGAAGCCTCTGTAACACATTACGAAAATGCCATCGAGAGCGATGATGAAGATTACAGTGGAGTAAATCTCATTCCTGAAGATGATGAATCTGATATCGAGACAATAGAGCGGCGGGAAGAGAGCTACATTCTTCAAGAAGAGCAACAGGCTACTGCGCTGCTCAATGACTACCGTGACGCTCGCCGGCTCAGTCTCGACAGTGTCGGAAGCGACAACATATTCGATGTATCTGCCCCACTTGATGATGTCTTCATCTCTAGTCTTCCCGACTTTGGTTTTGCTCAATTTTTCGAGCCACAGGCTATTCCTGCCTCACCCGAACCAGCTGTCAAAAGAAAGTTCTCCGACAGCTCCACTAAACGTGTTCGATTCGATGATGAGGTTCAAGTATCCGACGATTCCAGCTCAGAATCGTCAGAGCTCGATAGCAGTGTCTTTCCTGATCTATTCTTGGACCAAGATAAGCTTCCCCCCCTTCTACATCAGCTCATGGAAGTCGATCCTGATGATGATGATGGGGATATTGGCTCCCCCATGTCTGACGGCTCCTTCTGGGATTTTGGTCAAGATGAGTCTCGCCTTGCTCAAGCCAACGATTCGGACGACACGGACGATGAGTCGTCCGCCGGCTCGAGTGGCTATGATTGTATGATTGTGCCCTACCTCGCTTTTCTTTCTCAAACTAACAATCATCTGTAGCCGACATGGGTGATACAACGGACGAGGAGGATTTTGGTACGGACTTACCCCCGCAGACACCTATTAAAAACCAGTCTGTCTTGCGGCAACCAGCTTCAGCACCAGGCTCTCGTGCTGCTACCCCAAAACCCTTCCAGCGCAGCTCTCGCCCTACTGGTCGCCAAATTCCTCCTGCTCGTGGCGTCTTCATTCACAACTCTAGCAATGAAGCGATTGCAATCACCAACCGCTCGACTAAGACAGTCACGTTCTATCGTCCCCGTACCACGATGATTCCGTGGATTCCAATGACCGGATATCCCAGTAGTACCAGTAGCACGGCAAATGACAGTCCGCGGAACTCGATTGCGCAACCCAATGCCAATGCCTCGGACAGCGAAGTCAGCAATGAGGTCTTCAATAATACCATCAACACAGACATCATGCTCAGTGGCATCTTTGGATCTGCGCCTGGCAATGAGTACTTTTTCGCCAACGAGAGTGTTGGGCCTCCCGAGGCATTCTACCCCTTTGTTAGCATCGGCTCTGGTGGTCCCTTTAATGCCATGGACGAAGATGATGAAGACTCGGACGACTTTGAAGACGACCTGAACATTGCCGACTTTATGGACTTTGGCTCCGAAGGCGACGAAACCGACGAGGACCAGGATGACGATATCGAGGATACTGATGTGCCAGCCACCCCAGCAACCTCAACATTGGCTATGGATGGATCTACCCCTGCGCGTCCCATGTCAGCCACGCCAATTAACCGCAAGAGGACTACATCAGATGTTATGCTCGAGCATTTTGATCGTGGAGTGGTTACAGCCTTCCGAAACAACCAGAACCGCTTCCGCGATGTAGCATCCCTGCCATCCGACCCAGCCGCACGAGCATCAGTCTCTCGCCCAGTTCGCTCAGGCAAGTCTGCAGAAACAGTCATCACGCCCCTTCGTAAACGGTCCCGGTCCAATCGCATGGCGAAGTCGCCCCTGAAGCCGGTCTCAACCTTTGGTAACAACAGCTCGCCACTCGGAAAAGTCGCCAAAGCCACTGGCCGTTTGCAGAATAATGTAATGAGCCCGCCTCGGGGCCCTCCCCCACGTATGGGCACCTTCTCTAAAGTGTAGGGCGCACGTCATCAAAACGGCGTCTGCACTACACCAAACCTTTTCTGATTATTTCCTGTTTGAGTAGAGGGGAATCGAGGGTCAGAGAGATGAGAATCTAGGAAGGATAACCTTGGGATCTCCTGGAGAGATCTATCGATGACGCTACGATACCCATGACCTCTATGCTTCTGGTCGCACTTGCGACTGTGTTGTTATTACCCACTTTCCCAGAGGCGTTTCCATGTTTCTGTTTTTCCTTGGATTGACTCTTCGAGGGTCTCGGTAAAAGTTGGGGGATCTCACGGCGCAGACAGATTGAGACGTATGCGGCAACGCTGGCGTCACTTGATCCTTTGCACCTGCATATTGGGCTTTTCTTCTCCGTCTATTGCGAGCGTTCGTCTGTTCAGTTACTCGGTTGGTACTTTGTTTTTGCAGCCCGGCCCGGGTACTCCTAGAGCAGGAGTGCTAGGTCTTGGAATGATACCGCTCTGTGACCACGAAATGATTTCCTGCTCTCTTTTCCTTGGGCGCTCTGATCTTGGACTCTAGAGGCTGTCTGATGTAGACGGGCTTCGACTGTCAGCTGAGTATCTGCTCAATTCCATTTCCTTTGTTTGTCTAGTGTCTTGTCTTAGGAATCTGCTTTTTGTAGGATTAGTACTGGCTGATGGTCATGCTTCTTCTTTCATAGAATGCATGAGGTTTTCAAAAAAAAGTTGTTTCATATAACGTGCTATGCTTTGTCCACTACCAGGTGTTTTCGCTCATGTATCAAGACGCACGTGCGGTTTTCCCAGTACAAGCCGTCACACCGCACGTTTGACTGTGCCCCAGAAAGATGTACCGTCCGTGCATTCATCGAGGGGGCCACGAGGGGATGCTTGGCGTTGGTCCCTGGGCTGTGCTCGAAGTTACCTAGTGCGAACATCGACGTCACACCTGAGTCGCGTTTCGCGCATGTGAAGATCAGTGACCAGGCAAACTTCACCGCCAATAATCGCTCTATGCCACGACCACGTAAATCATGGCCAGTACAGAAACTGACCCCGACGAGGACCAATCATTTACAAAAACTGTCACGGTAAGCTCGAGTCATATCAAACCCTTCCACCAGGTTCCTGGCACAATCGTGGAGCACAGGCAACACACGACTCCCCCACCCGTTCCCCTCAACCACCCATGCTAACTCAAGTCCAGGACACCCTGCTCCTCCCCGTTCGTGTCGCCACATCTCCCGTCCTCTTACGAACATATCTCCGCACTATCTTCCTTTTCCTCGCGTCCTGCATCTTCTTCGGCTTCGCAGTTGTAGCCTACTCGTCGCTTTACTACTCGTACATTCCTGTCCGTGGAATCAGTGTTCCGGTGTATCTCCAATATGATCACGGTGCGCCTCCATCTCTGGCGTCGTGTGTTGCCTCGGCTGCAGGTGAGGGGGATACGATACCAGGTGGCAGGTGGACGAAATGGCCGTATGGAATTGCGAATGTACCTGGCCTGATAGACCGGCAGAAATACGACTTTGTTGTTGAAATGGATGTACCCAGAAGTGACAATAATTTGCAGATTGGGAATTGGATGATTGTGCTTGAGATGCGGGGGCCTACCACCCCTGGTAGCGGCGGTATGTTGGGGCTATTGGGATGGGAAGAAGAGTGGGATGTCCAGGATCATAGTATGGGTGTTGGGCCTGCGAGTACAGCCACGGGAAGGGACACGACAGCTCCGAAATTTTCGAGCAGGAAAGCGGTCGTGCTTGCGCGCAGTAGGAGGCCGGCCATCTTGACATACAGGAGTCGGATTGTCGAGGCGGCGCATCGGTTGTTGCGACTACCGTTTTACCTTTTTGGGTGGCACACAGAGTCGGAGCATGTGGAGGTTAGCATGATGGAGTCTGTGGTGTTTGAGCAGGGAGACCGTAATATTCCAACCTCGCTCCGTCTGGAAATTCGCTCCAAACAGCCGCTGGAGGTGTATCGGGTCAAAGTGCATATCAGTGCTAGGCTCGAGGGCTTGCGCTGGCTCATGTACAAGTATTGGATCACCAGCGCCGTTGTGGGCATCGGTCTCTTCTGGGGCGTAGAGATGGGTGTTTTGATATTCACGTGGGCACTATTTACACTGCTTTTCAGCCGCAGTAGTACGACCACGCCCGCCAGTCCAGAACCACAGAAACAAATTAAATCTGAGCCTGATGACCAACCTGCCAACCTCAATCCCGGACCAACGGACAAAGAACCACGAGACCCCTTGAGCGACACAAGCCACGTCTTCCCCACCCTTCCCTCGCAACAACCTCTTTCCTATACTTCGATAAAAGAAGAAGCACAAACACTGGATATGGGGGACGTTCCAATCAAAGAAGAAGCCGAGGCGCATGATGAGGACGACGACTCTTTGTTGGAGGAGATGTTGCCGTTGCGCAAGAAACAAGCTGGCTTTGAGGATTCGGGACTGGGAACGAGCTTGGAGAGTAGTGTGGACAGGGGGCTAAGTAGACGGAGGAGTGTAAAGGGCAAGGGGATGGAAGACGAGAGAGCGAATGGCTAGGTGCTTTGGCTGGGATTTGGGTTGGGTGTTGGGCTTGGGTGGTGGTGGATGGGTTGGTGATTGAGTGTTGATGGTTACCCCTACGATTGTAAGACTGACATCTG